AAACTTATGCTAATAGATAAACTTGAATGAGACAATGAAAATAAACATTTAGTTTCAATGATCTTTTAATTTGTTAATCTATTTAACATTAGTTGACTTTCTTATTTACAAACGTTCAAATGAAGTAAGTTTTTAAATAGGCTAGTAGGCCAATCAGACCTTCGAAAAGGCTTTAAATTTTTTAGCAAGATAGACTCAGGTTTGACAAAGCTTAACTCGGTTCAGCCTATTTCCACCCCTAACTGCCAATTCTGCCATAGTTAGAAGCATGTTTACAATACAAATATTTATCACTTTTTTTAATTTTATTGATTTAGGAATTATTTATTTTTAGTTATTGCTATCTAAAGAAAGTACTTTTTTATAGTGATTATATGCAAATGACTGCATTTTGAGTTTTCTAGGTTGTAGGTTGGAGTTATGCAGAAGGATAATCAAAATTTTAGAGTTTCATATTCAAATATTTACTTCCTTCTTTTAGATTTTTCTATTTGTTATAATCCTTTATCATGCATGTTCTTCCCCCCAATGCTATCTTTGCTTAGCTTTTGTTTTGTTATGATGTGAATGCTTTAGAGGATTTAATTTAAGCAATTACACGTGTTGCAATCAAGTGTTAAAATGTTAAAATACATATTTCAGCATAGTAGTTAATTAACATCTAATAGTAATTATGACAGTGCTTTTGTTGGAATGATGAAATTTGTTTGGATTTATGGGTTATTGCAATTAGCAGGTGAATACCATGAAAATTTTGAGGTTGAGGTCGTTTTTTCTGAATTACAATTCTCTAACATGATTGATTTTGTGAAAGAGATCCATGTTGTTGGCCAATACAGAGAGCTTTCAAGTGAAATTTTGCTAGTTTAATGTTAGAGATTTAGCTAGTATAGAGAGTATAGGTTCTTGAAATGTTTTTTTTTAAGTTTATATGTGATCCTATTTTTATTTATAGATTAATATGGATTTTATTTATATTCTTTTACCTATAAATCTATCATTATTAAAAATTATTATACATTAGTGAGGAATCACAATATTTATTAAGAGTTATTAAAAATCATTATTCTTTATAACAATATTTTTCTAATCTATAAATAATATTTTTTAATTATTTTGTAATTAATCTTAATAAATCTATTATCATAATCAGAAAGTAGATAACCATCAATATTACAATCAAATTTAAACTTAAACTAAGTTAATTGTACATAATTCCACATATTCCAATTGTTTTGTTTTTTTAGAAACCTTTTCATTTACCAATGTTGATTAAATGAAAACAATTAATTAAATCTCTTATTTAATTGAAACAATTCAAATGTTAAACACAAATATAATCACACAATAATTGCAATAATTGGATATTCTAATAGACAATAAATGACGATTGATAATGAGTGAGTATCTTGAAAACATTTTTCTCTATAAAACTTCTTCCTCTACAATAATCCCTACAAATAACAAGTAATTTTAAATATTACAATTTTTTTTTTGCTTATTTATTAACAAATTAATTATTATAAATTGATTTTTTTTGAAAAAAATAATATTAAGTCATATTATTTTAATTTTAACGTTATTATAATTGGTAAATAAAAATTGAAGAATTCTTTAGTTATCAAAATACTAAAATAATACAAAATATTTTTAAATTAGTTTTATAATTTAGCAAGTAAAAAAGTTGTATGATATGTTCGCCCAAGTTGTGATTATATTACATTAATAAAGTTTTTGTTGTACATCACTAATTACTTGAGTTTTAATTGGTAAAACTCAGATCATTTAAATTAAAATACAAAATAAATAGGAATACAAAAGGAAAGTTTGTTAGTATTGACCCATCATGAAGTTTACATAAGATTAATAATGATTTACATTACTAAAGCAGTCATTTAACACTCCCCAATATATAGGGAAAGTAGAAAGTCACACGTGCAATTCAAATTTTTTAATAGTAAAATAATAGATAATTAAATAGTCATTTTTCTTGCATACAATTTATGTAAGATTTTGCAATTAATGAATGCCTTTTTAATTTTCCTTTTCGATATTCATTGGAACACCTAATATCAATTTCTCCCCATGAAAAACAAACCAAAATTTTATAATAAATAATAATTATAATAAAAATAATTAAAAAAATATAAATGTTTTTGAAAACACACCCATTCCAAAATGTATGTGTAATAATTACACTTAATTATTAGGTTAAAAATGTATATTCAAATTACACATTCCATAATTTTATAAAATGTATAGTAATAACGCTTAATTACTAAGATATAAATGTATATTCTAAGACACATGTTTCAAATTTTTATATAGGATAAAAATATGTGTTTTTACTCGTAATAATTCGCTAAAGTTTTAAATTTAAACAATACTATATAAAATTCATTTTCTAATTACTTGCATCATTATTACTTTTTTATTTTATTTTAACTTTTAAGTCCTAAAATTATACTTAAGACATTTATACCATAATTATTTTCTTTAACATAAAATTATTCCAAAGACATTTATACCATATGAGCATTATTATGTTGCTTTAAAAAATAATTATTATATTGCTTCAATAATAAAATTAATTATTAATATTATATATTTATTCATGAATATGAAAAATGTAATTTAATTTTATCTCATGTGATTAATATGTATTAGTAATAGTTAATATTGTGTTTCAATTTGAAATGTGTTCTGGTCTGGGCCCAGCCTCGCGGTCCAGCCCAATAACGCATGAGGCCCATTAAGTGGACTAGCCCGACCGGGCACACGCACCCCCATAGGACGGACAGGACACACTCCCCGCCGGGACGGACGACACGTCCTGTAGCGTCTCAACATCCCCTTTGTCGGCCGAACAGGGCACCCCCGATCCGTCGAGCAAGACCTTTGGTTCTTCCACGTCCTCGCGTGCTCCCCTCCGCGGGGAGAACAACCTGCCCCCGGGGAACCTCCCGAGCTCCCCTCCGCGGGGAGAACAACGTGTCCGGCGCGCGTTCTCCACGTGCCCCCCTCCGCGGGGACACGTCATCTCCCAACTGCCCACCTCCGAAAGAGCCGGTCAAACCCACTTTCCGGAGATCAAGGAGCAGTTGGACTAGGGCGAAGACCACGTCCTGGTCTTCACTACGCCACGTAAGCCCTAGCAGTCACCTGGGTTGGGCCTGGCAATCCAGCCTAACGCAAGTGACCGTTGGCCCAGCGATGGGGTCTCTCTATAAATACCATCTTCCTCAAGAGGGTCAGGTATTTCACTTCTTACCCATTTTCTGTACTTTGCTCTCACTCTGCCCAACTCCTTACTTTGGCATCGAAGTGTTTTGCAGGTACACCCCCCTTCTCCTCCTCATCACCGGTGAACAGGTAGCAGTCCAACAGCGTGTGGTCAGCCTGTGATCCCCTTCTGATCAGGTCAGATCAAAATGTAATATTATTATTAGGGTCTTGCTAACCAGTGTCCTCAAGACACTATTTAAACATTCCATATTAAGAAATTATTCTTTAAAAAATTCAAACACTTCAATTTCCAATGCACATTATTACACATTATTGCACATACTTTTATAAAAACTTACTATTTAAAGTTTTAAAAAGTGCCCCGAGGGCACTGGTTAGCATTTCCCTTATTATTATTATTATTATTATTATTATTATTATTATTATTATTATTATTATTATTATTATTATTATTATTATTATTATTATTATTATTATTATTATTATTATTATTATTATTATTAGGGTAATACTAACGTGAGGCACAATTTAAGAACTAAATTAAGAAATATTGTCTTGGAAATTATGTACAAACTTTAAGTAAAGTATAAAATTAATTTTTAAATTGTTTTTTTCAATATAAATTTACTATAAGAGGGTCTCTTAACTTGTGCCCCAAGGACAAAAAGGTAGCATTACCCTTATTATTATTATTATTATTATTATTATTATTATTATTATTATTATTATTATTATTATTATTATTATTACTACTATTATTATTATTATTATTAGCGTAATATTAACTTGTGCCCCAATGACACAACTTAAGAAACACATTTATAGTTTTTTTTTATAAGCAAGAATATATTAAAGAGATTAAGAAAATCTCTGAATCAACAGGAATACAACCCAAACCTAATACAAGACTGTTACATAAAATTGAACGGAAATTTAAACCAATCATACAAGTTACAATGATTAGTATCATGTCTACCTAATACCAACCAATTCCACGAGATAACTTTAATATCAGTAACAATGTCCTCAACGTCAATGGTGACATTACTGAAAATAATGTTATTTCTAGCCCTCCATAAACTCCAACAAGAAATGAACCAAATTGAGCTGATCTTGTTCTCTTTACAACGACCTAGAAGTCTCGATTTCCAGGCATTCGCATGAAGACTACAACAATCCTCCGAGATGTTCTCTATATCCACCAAATCGCAAATCTTATTCCACACCAACGATGATTTAGAGCACGAGAAGAAAATATGTGAAACGTCCCCGAAGCTTGACGAACAGAACGCACAATCCAAATTTTGGGAATAATCAATCACCCTTCTTTTCATCAAATTAGATCTGGTAGGCAGCCTATCAAGCGCCAACCTCCAAATAAAAGTTTGGACTTTTGCCGGTAACACCGTTTTCCAAAGGATCTCCAGAAGAGTAGCACTATCACTACCAATATTGTGAACAGAAGCAGAAGAGGATAAAGCAGTATAGAAAGAGCTTACCTTATACGAAAGTGAATCATGAAGAAGCCATTTCCAATTATCTGCGACATTGATGTTGGCTGCCACCTGATCCAACAAATCACTACAATCTATCCATTCTGGTTCAATATTGGATCCCTCATCTATCAACGTTTCTCTAGATTTCCAAACCCACTGATCTTCCTCCCAATTTCCCATATCATTGACTATCGAAACTTTCCTGGAACAGCCCTGAAACATTTACTGAAACATACTTTTAAGCGGTAAATCTCCAATCTAATTAGATTTCCAAAATGTCGTACTGTGACCTTCTCCAATAGTGCAAGTCATAAACTTGTTGAAGTCCACATTGAAGTCGCAGGTTGAACTTGACAAAATATCCTTCATCCAAAAAGAATCGAAATTCGAGCTACCGACGTCGGCGAAAGTTTGCACCTTCATGCTCAAGTTACCGTATCTGAGATTGAGCGTCTTTCTCCAAATTTCATTACCACCGCTTTGAAATATCCACAACCATTTTGCTATAAGAGCACAATTAAAACGACCTACGTGTTTAATGCCAAGACCTCCGTATTCCTTTGGCTTACAGATGGAGTTCAAAGATATCCAAGAGATGAACCTTTTACTAGAGTTCCCAGCCCAGAGAAAACGTCGTTGGATTGCGACAATATCGTTCACGATTTTCTTGGGAGCCTTGAAGAAAGCCAAGTAATGAATAAGCAAGTTAGCTAAAACCGAGTTAATGAGGGATACTCTACCTTCCATTGACAGATTTCTCCCAGCCCAATTTGATAGCTTACTCCTTATACAAGACAAAACCGGATTCCAGAATGAATGTCGACGATGATTTCCTCCTACCTGAAGACCGAGAAAATTGAACAGTAGCCTGCCAGATTTACAGTGCAGAAATTCTTCAGCTGCAACAAGGAAAGTAGGGTCTACTCTTATCCCATAAAGACAACTTTTAGAGAAATTAATTTTCAAACCAGAAATCAGTTCGAACGCGCGTAGGACAGCCTTGAAAGCCCATATATTCATAACCGAACCATCTCCTATAAGCAGAGTGTCATCGGCAAATTGAAGCATGCTCTCAGAATTTTGATTATTGATCTTGAATTCTCTTAGCAGGTTACCGGCAACTGCGAATCTGACTAAACAAGACAGGCCCTCTGCTACTATGGCAAACTGAAACGGAGCCAAAGGGTGCCCCTGCTTCAGACCTTTTCCAACCTTGAAATCCTTCGAAGGACATCCGTTAATAAGAATCGAAACGAAACTATTGAACACGGATCCTCGAATCCATTTTAACCAATTTGGACCAAAACCCATCTTAACAAGCATCGCATCTAGGTAAAGCCAGTCGACACAGTCGTAGGCTTTAGCATAATCGACTTTGAAAAACAAACATTCCTTTTTAAATCTCTTAGCATAGTCTTCTATTTCGTTGGCCAGCAGAACCCCATCGTAAATTTGCCGACCCGGGATGAAAGTTGTTTGAGAAGGAGAGACAATTTTATGAATAACCTTGCTCATTTTGCAAGCAAGCATCTTGGATATAACCTTGGAGAAACAGCTAATCAGAGTAATTGGCCTAAAATCTTCAAACTGTTGCAGATTGGAAATCTTCGGTACCAAAGAGATGAAAGAGGATGCAAACATCTTAGGGAGAAATCATGTCTTGAAGAAATCCAAGATGCAATTCGAGAAGTCCTGACCAACAATTTCCCAGCAAGATTTTATGAATTTAAAGTTAAATCCATCGACACCTGGGCATTTGTTACCGTCACAGCTGAAGACAACCTTTCTTAGATCAGAAGGGCTAAAATCGGCTTCCGAAAACAGTTTGTCCTCCTCATCAAGACAGGCAGCCAAAGCTAGATCACTTCTGAATTTTTCTGACTTAGATTGCATGTATTTACCCTTAAAGAACTTCATCGCTTCAAACTTAATATTCTCAGGGTCTTCCACAATTCTGCCTCCCACTCTAACAGCTGAGAGATGATTCGACCGATTCCTGGATTTAAGGGAGTCATGAAAAAAATTGGTGTTAAAATCCCCATTTTGAAGCCAACTAACCCGGGATTTCTAGGCTATCATGTTTTCTTTGATCCGCATATTCTTCCACATTTCCTCTTGGTATCGTAGTTTCTCTCTATCCAGATCAGTATCTTGCGGATTAGAGTCCTCGACTGATTCCAATTCCAGCTTGTTGAACTTAGCGATATTATCCTTAATGTTCAAATCCAGCCAACCAAACACTTTAAGATTCCATATCCTGAGGTCAGATTTAAGATCTTGAAATTTCTTAGAAAGGATGCTGCAATATGATCCTATGAATTGGTAAGAGCGCCACGATTTCGTAACGAAAGGGATGAAATCCTTGTGGTAGAATCAATAGTTGAAAGTTCTAAATGGTTTTGGTCCCCAATTGATGAAATTGGACTTCAACCACACCGACCGATGATCTGATATGTCTCTATCCCCCACCACTTGATTCTTCAAAGAAAACATTGATATAACCCTATCATCAACCAAAACTCTATCCAGTCTACTTCTGCTCTTACCGTTAGAGTTGAACCAAGTGAAATGGCTTCCGAACACTGGTAGATCCACCAAATTCATTTCCTCAATGAATTCACAGAAATCCTTCGTATCCTTGCTGTTATAACCACTTAGGCCTTTCCTTTCCTCCCTATTTTTCACCGTATTAAAATCCCCTCCTACAATCCAACCAACATTAGAGTAACTGTTCTTAATTTTAATCAGATCTCTCCACATCTTCCTCTTATCAGCAGATCCACAAGGAGCGTAAATGTTGATCACCATCAACCTATGATTATTACAAACAAAGTGTAGACCTAAGAATCCTTTCCTACAAAAACTAAAACAAGCAGAGATTCTAGCAGTATTCCACATGGTTAGAATTCCACCAGAGTTTCCAACAGAGTTCTGAGCTGACCAATCCAAGTCAAAATTCCTCCTCACGCTGTATACAATACCAGACTCCATCTTGATAACCTTGGTTTCCTGAATGATGCAAATGTCGGCACTTCCTCTCTGAATAATTTGAGTTATTCTCCTTCTCTTGACGAAACTACAGCAGCCTCTAACATTGAAAGAAATTAAATTCATGGATCAATTGTAGCTACATCCTTCTTGCCTAAACCAACATCCCTATCTGCTTTATCCAAAATCCTCCGAGTTCGCCCAATAACTTCTTCATCTTTGCCCTGAATTCCCAGATCTTTAAGAAAATCACTCAATTTAGATGGAACTTCGACAATGGCCATTCTGCATCTCAAGTTATCCCTCTCCACATCAGTGTCGATTATCGATTCACAGCACAATAGAGCAGAACTAGACTCTGAAATTTCTTTAGACAACTTTTTCTTCTTACTTTCCTCCCTAGCTTTTCCTTTCGACTCAGGTATAAGGTTCTCCTTGGGGGCCGTGAGAAGCAGAGTGGAAAAATAAGAGGGGGTTTTAATGCAGCTATAAACCTCATGAAGGGGTTTTTTCTTTTTAGCTTTACCTCTAACAACAGACCCAATAATTCCTCCAGAAGGCCCACTAATTGGAAGAGGTAGGCCCAGATCTACCACCAATTCCCCATTAAGACTGGGTACCTCAAAATCAGCTTTGGACTGATTAAGTTCTAGGTCAGCCATAAAGTTATCTGGTTTAGTTCCTTCTGAACTAATCTGAGCGGTTGAAACCTTATGATTCCTCCTTCTTGACCCATCACCTTCCACACTAAACCCTAAGTTATCCCCAACAACTGATACATTGTCTAACACTGAAAAGTCACCATCTGCCTTTTGGACAATAGTATCAGGTGCTCTGGCTTCTGTCTCAGAGTACAAGGATTTGAGATCTTCATTTTCTTCCTCTTCAGGTATCTCCCACGCGCCCTCTAAGTCTGAAGGGTTTGAGGAGTCAAATTCATCTGAATCTATCACCTCATCTTCTTCACCAAACAAAGGATCTCCACGCCCAGACGAAAGGTCTTCTGTGAATGAAAGTGAAAAGGTCTGATTGTTCACTTTAATGTCAACCAAGTTATTCAGAATAATCCTGAGTCTTGTTTTAATAAGAAGTCTCGCTATGTCCAATTTCTCTTTGTTCCTCGTCTTTTCATCACACTTGACAAACGATCCCAGACTGGAGGAAATCTGCCTGAAATTTTTCTCACTCCAGGCAACACAAGGTAGCCCATAGCAGTTTACCCACACTATCCTGAAATTTTTCTCACTCCAGGCAACACAAGGTAGCCCATAACAGTTTACCCACACTATCCTCACTCCAGGCAACACAAGCGGATGTCTCTAAACCAGATATCTAGCCATTCTCTAGTTTTCTTGACAAACACTTCTAAGTTTCCTCCTGATGTATCTTCCAGCAAGCACAAAGAAGCTCCCAAGGGGGTAGCCTTAATGTTAAAATAACTTTCTTCATAAATTAACTTCTGAATGTTGAAAGCATTATCATCCTCCATAACTTCACCCACTCTCATACGATTCAACCTCCTTGATCATTCATCATCCAACTCAAGTTTTGAGCATTGACCTCCTCCCTTGGCCCTATAAACAGACTTAGGGTAATCTCCTCGGAGCTGACATATCTTGAATAACTTTTACTTTGTCAGGATCGACTAATATTCCCCTCTCGCTGACTATGAACCCTAATAATTTTCTATATCTAACTCCAAAAGTGCATTTTGCTGGATTTAGTCACAACTTGAACTTCCTTAGTCGATCAAACAACTTTTGTAAATTGACTATGTGATCTTCTTTAGTTTGTGATTTCACAAACATATCATTGATGTAGACCTCTATTTCTTTGTGCATCATATCATGGAAGAGGGTCACCATTGCCCTTTGATAAGTTTCCCCGACATTATTTAGTCCAAACGAAATTACTTTGTAACAGAAAGTTCCCTAAGGAGTGATAAATATGATATGCTCCATGTCTGAGGGAGCCATCTTGATTTGATTATAACCAGAGAATCCATCCATAAATGAGAAGACTGAAAACTGAGCGGTATTATCCACTAATATGTCAATGTGTGGTAGCGGAAATTCATCTTTAGGACTTTGCTCTATTAAGACCCCTTTAATCCACAGACATTCAGACTTTCCCATCTTTCTTAGGTACCGACACAATATTGACTACCCATCCTGGATATTTTACAACGGTTAAGAACCCTGCATCGAATTGCTTTTTGACCTCTTCCCTGATTTTGAGAGTCATATCAGGTCTAGTCCTTCTTAATTTCTGCTTAATTGGCGGATATTCCCGCTTAAGTGATAAATAATTATATCTAAAAGATTTTACTATAAACTATTTATATTGATTTTAATATAAACTATTTATATGATAAAACATTTTATAAATAATGGTAAATCTTTTTGCCTTCCAAAACGATGCTATCAAGGTTACAGGTCAGGATTCTTGGATCATGAACTTTGTGAAATTTGGCGAAACCGAATATATTACCTCGCTTATCTCTCTTAGCAGAAATAAAAACTTCTAATATGACTCCATAGACCTTGAAGACCTCAAACAGGTCTTTAGCATTCCACATTTATAGCTATTTTGGAAACATCAATAAAAAATTAAAAAAAAAATTATTTTTATTAAAAGTAATACATAATTTTTAAGATATTATTTTTATATTTAGTTTTTTACTTTTGTCTTAGGACACAAGTTAACATTACCTTTATTATTATTATTATTATTATTATTATTATTATTATTATTATTATTATTATTATTATTATTATTATTATTATTATTATTATTATTATTATTATTATAAAAAGAATTTATTCTAATTAAACGCATTTCAGTTTGCAAATAAATATCTAAATGGATTGTTTTATGATAATGTGAACCGTTTTGTATGGATTTTAGATCTTTCCACGTAATTTCACATTCATAATTAATTTTATTTCTTTATTAATTGAAATAAGTTAAATTAAAAAAAATATATTGTCATTATGAATAACATTAATAATATTTGTGCACACAATTATTCAATTTTCAATTGAATTGTTTACTTGAAATAAGTTTTAAATTATACCAGTTTATACTTTTTTAAGGTGATATTATTTCTATTAACCTAACATTTCTATAATTCCTGATAATACACTAACATCTATATTAAATTAATATTCATACCACATTCATAATTTAAGACTACTTTTTTTATTTAAATTTTTTTATATGTATATGGTAATTATTGTCATACTATATTTATTTATTATTTTTAATAATATTGCGTGATCCGTGCGAACACATGAGTAGATGATTACTTAATTATTTCATTTATTTTTTACTAAAATATATATTTTCGACGGGCTGATACTAAATTTTTATATATTTTTATATAAATTTCTTAACTATTATTATACTATATTTATTTACTATTTATAACGACATTGCGCGAGTTGTGCGAATGTACGAGTAAATGACTACTTTATTTTTTCATTTTTTTTTTACTAAAATATACACACGCGCGCGCGCGCGCGCGC